AAATTCACATGTATTGCTCAGGTAAATTTTGTTTCGCATACTTCAATAAAGTCTAAAAAATAAAATTACAGTTCTGTTAATCTTATCTGCAAAATAAAATGCTTGCTTATTTTCTATTGGATTGAGGTCAGGTGATTGGCTGGGTCATTCTTGCGGCTTCCTTTTATTTTCTAAAAGCAGTTGTATATTTGGGATAATTTTTTTGGTAAAATTTCTACCCTGGTTTCATCTTCATCATCTGGTAATGTAGGTGTCAGAACTGAAGCAGCTAATATTAATTTACGCTGATGAGGTGCAGGGTTGATTTCTAACCACTGAGAGATTTCAGCTGATGTCTGGCCTTTCCATGCCTTCTTACATCTCACTTTCTTCATGTGTTCAATTTTTTTTCACTGTTTCACTTTATTACACATACATTTCCTATAGAAAATCATCATACAACGTTTGAAATATTTACTTTATTTTTCATACAGCCTGAAATCAAATTACATACAAAATAACTTTGCTTGAAATGCTTTAGCCTTCAACTAATTTGCACTTTTTTACAACTTTATCCCGAAGGTCTTTTGAAAGCAGGGTGTAATGTGAGTAAAGGTTTTCACAGGGTATGATTTTCTATAGGCACTGTAACTTATTTTCTAAAACTATTAGTTTGGTTTTCTTTGCATATATGTGTTAATTTGGTTGTTACTGACATCTGGTGGAATTTTTTAGTTAACAACATCTTCAGAAATGTGTTTTCTGGGATTTTTTTTACTCTTAATGTGCCCAAATTATATAGGCATAGATTATAATTGAAGCTCATGCATTAATTTAATATATGTTAAAGTCAAAGTAATCTTGATTTGCCAACACAGTTTAATAACATCATCATCATCATCATCATCATCAAAAAAAGAAGACAACAACAGCAATAACAAATTGTTGTTGTTATTATTATTAATTATGTTTAAAAAAGAAATAGTTTTAATTAATAATGCTAATTTCATAATAATAACATTATTACAAATTATTTAAAAAATAATGTTAATTACTTGTATACGTGTATTACTATTATTGATGTTTTAAACAATAACAAAATAGTTTTTACAAGCTAAAAATTCAAATATAACACAAACTATTACTATCAGAAGTAATATTAGTAATAGTATATAACATAATCTTTATTACCACAATAATAATAATAATAATTATTATTATTATAATAATTATTACTATTATTATTATTATTATTATTATTTTGACGTGTCATTATAAAATTATTCTAAATTGTAAGAATGAAAACATATTATTTTTATTATTTATTATTATTATTATTATTGTTTTATTATATTACCTTTTATTTTTATATTACCTTATTATAATTATTGTTAGTAGTAATAGTACTTTAATATTACTTACTGCTTATAATTGAAAGCCATTTCAGAAATGAATCCTCTTCGTTTTCTGTATTCTGAATCACTGAATCCCTGAATAATACAAGTATTTATTTCACTGCTATAACACTGATCACAAAGCAGACGCAGAATTAGGATTATAAAATATATGAATAATAATTAACGTCCTGAACAGCATCACTGTTGTTCACTTACAGGGTGATCCTGGTCCAGATCAGGGTCATATTTTGTTATCAGATGATTGCATGTATCAAGGTCAGAAATCTTCTTTGGAAACCATGGCGCTATAACATTTAAATAAACGTTGTAAGATAACTAAAAATAAATGTTTGCTGGTGTTACCAACAGCATGCAGTCACAAAATCACCTACTCTTTTCTTCTTGCACTATTCGCACGTCATCTGCAACTCTTTTTAAAGAGTTGATGAAGATGTCGGTGTCGGAGCAGTGCACTTCACACCGCATGAAGAACTCCAGATCTTCTCCACTGCTTCTCTTGCTCTTTCTGCTCGCTCGACTTTCCAGGTGTAGCAGCTTGGTTTCGAAAGTCTACATAAGTTAAAAAACCAGACTTATTATGTTTTAGTACTCGTTATTTATTATTATATATACAATAATAAAATAAAGTTTATGGCCAGATTTAAGGCACCAACATTATTGATTTTAAAATATGATGAGCTTTTTTTCAGTGTTTCCAATAATCCATTGTTAAAATTAATGTTGAAGATAATTACACACATAAATTCCATAAAATGTATGGTAAAAATGCAGCTGTGGTGGCCAGTATTTAACCGTTACAAGTATGGTACATTTTTATTAATTAATATACACCAATGATGAACCAATGCTCATATCAAACAATTTTCCCACAAGCAGAGAAATATACTATTATATAGAAGGTGCTCAGTGTCATTCACACAGCTACAAAACTCATACAGTCAACACATACAATTAAAGTAATGGAATAAACATTTTTATCAACATTAGGTGCAGCATAAAACTCTAATGTACTTAATTTATGAGAAAAAAAAGGAACCATAGTAATGTATAAAAAATGTATAAAAAAAAAAAACTTCAGGGAAATTCAATTTATGGTTATTTATTGTATATATTAGGAAAACATACTGTTAACCAAATTACAGATTTTTACAGTTTTTTTTATTTAATTTTGTTTGTTTTTTACCATTGAAATCATGGCTAATTTTTACAGTATTGAGTATAGGTTAGTATCTTCAAGTTTGTTTCTTATTGTGTTACCTGCTGTTCCTTTGTAAATATTGAAACTGGAAATGAAAATTAAATTAAAGGACTGTAGTAATTTAAGAGTAAAGTTGATATTACACCATTTTATTTTTCAGTTTGAACAAATACATTTTTGCAGTGAAGTTACATATTTAAATTACATTTTTGGTTAGGTTTAGCTCTCGAACTATAATTGTGATGTTACTTATTAACATGTATTATTACAATTAATTATTTTACCTTTTTAATGTGATTTTTTTCAGTGATGGATTGCATAAATATCTTAAATATATTCGACTCTAAAATGTAAAAAAAAAAGGGTCTAGCAATATTTTAACATTTAAAATATACAATATTCATGTCTGTAGTTGCCATTGATGTTACAGCTTTAACTTTTTTCTTGTAGTTGTAAATAAAGATTAATGGGATGGTTTAACCAAAACTGAAAAATCTTCACTTGTTACAAACCTGTTTGAGTTGTTTGAAAATAAAAGAAGCTATTTTAAAATATGTTGGAAAACTGTAACCATGGACTTCCATAGTATTTTTTGGACTTCCATAGTATTTTGAGTTTACAGGTTTCAAACTTCTATCTTTTTTTTTCAAAATATTTTGTTTTGTTTTTAACAGAAAAAGGAAACTCATGGAACCAAATTATGAGAACATTTTCTTTTACTAAGGTTTGCAAAAAATTTTTTCACTGTTTCTGCCTCAAAATTATAAAAATAGTTTTCAAAGTTGTTTTTGACATTGATTTACATATGTAATTAGAATTTTCTGTAACACTCTACAATAGGATTGTGTTAGTTAATGAAAATACAGTTGTTCTTTATTTGTTTGTTAACTCACAGTGTGTTAATCCATTATTCATAATGTTGAACTATTAATAAATGCTGTTCATTTGTTCATTGTTCATAATTAGTTCATGTTTGTAAATACATTGCATTAATGAACTCTTATTGTAAAATGTAACCAATTTTTCATATACCCTAATTTGACAAAAAACAAAAAAGGGGTAAAATGAGAAAGATTATGTGTAAAATTACAAAAAATTTAAAATTACAGATACTAAAGGCATGTTAAAAATCAGTATACCCTAATTAGGCTGCAAAAGCAGGTTTCTGCCAAGCCAATGAAAGATTTGGAGTTCTAATAATTCTGTCAATGTTTAGAACATTAAACACTTTACTCGCACTAGCCTAAAAAAAAGATTAATTGGGTTTACAATGTAATTGTTTTAATGTAAGGGGTTGCAAAAAATTTATATGGGCTGATTTTAAACAAACAAATTAAATTCCTTATATACCTACATTGTTTGCAACCACTTACCTTAAATAAATTTAGTAAATTCAATGAAGCATTTTTTTCCCAGTAATATATTGAACGTTTTGTGGACTGTAGCGGATGTTAACTGTTCTTTAATTTACAATAAAGAATCTTTTTAAAACGATTATAGCCTACATGAAGTACGCACCTCAAAGACTTTGCCAGCCTTGAAGAAGCCGGCGTTTTTCTCATTTTTAAGAGCAAAGAGGATGTTGAGAGTGATTTTGCCAGTCTTCTCCTCCTCAAACACGAAGCTGTCTCCGCAGCGCGAGGGGCCCGGAGATGAAGAGCCGCTCTCTCTGTCGCGCCGCGCGTCCTCAATCAGACTGCGCTTTCTGCCGCTCAGCGGAACATTCTGCGCTATACTGTCCGACTTCATCGAAAATCTGAATATATCCAGTTAATGTTATGTCAATACCAACTCTAAACAAACGAGGAACAAAATTGGTGTAGGACTGTGGGGGCCACATCCCCGCAATTTATATACAGACGTGCGGGACTTTATGTAAATGAGTTGCGCAAATGCACGTCTGATTTTAGGCTGAGATGCGTCATGAATTTTTGTTGTTAATAAGAACTGCGACACGTGACATTTCACAGGTGCTTCAAGCGACAGATTACGTAAATAGACTCTATTTTTTTGTGAAAGGTCAGCACTAAACGAGTCTTTATCGTAAATATATAAATACATAAGTGGATACGTTTTTAATGACATACAATTAAATCAAAACACGGTTTTTAGAGTGCTGCTCTCCAAGGTACTGAAACGAACTTCTGCTATTACGCAGTTTGTTTGCTAATATATAGCATGTAATTAAAATGGTGATAATAATGCAAACTGCAATAATAAAGTATGTTGATTGATAAAAATAAATGCATTGTTTAATTAATAGCAAGTACGTAGGCTACAGTACAGATTCTAAAGTATGTACAAGTCTATAATGACAACTAATTGGCTAACTTAAAAGGCGAACAATTCATTTTTAGAATAAACAATAAGAATACATCGCAACAGTAAATAATGACAGTAGCCTATTAACAGTTGTCAACATTTATTGATTTTTTTTCAAACAATTTTAACAATGCGTGCATGACATTTCAGTTTTGCATCTACAACAAAATATGCAGTATGTTGAGTTGCGTAAGCAGTCGAGCGAAACTAGCTACATATATTTGTCAGTAATGTAATTAACATCTAGTTCAATGCGGCATATGAGCGCATCTTGTAAATAAAACACCTCGTAAATAATAATAATAATAATAAAAAAACAACTCGTCGAATGCATTGGCTCAGCTCATGATTTCAACAAGCCTTTGATGCTTAATTGATTGCAGGTTGTTTGGGAAAATTACAGCAACACTGAGAGACAACAAGCTGAAGCAAATGGTGGACGGTAGGCAGTCAGTATTGGTCTAAAATACCAAGAACAAGACATGTTAATATACAATGTATAAAATGACAAATATTGCAAGCAGCGCGCTACACAATATACGAAGCGTTTTTTTGGTATTTACATGCGATTCGGTTTGCGTATTTTCTAGTATTAATTCGTTATGTTAAATACTTTGTGCGCCTATATATTTGGACTACAAAAATTAGGCTATAAATATATATCTTTTTCTACATGCAATACATAATGACTATTTTAAAATGTCATGCTCTCTTTGTAACAGCTTGATTAACACTAGAAGTGATGTTATAGGTGCGTCTAAAAAGCAATATCGATGATGTGGAGCTTCTTTGATTTTCCAGCATTTCTTCTTGATTTCTCTCGAAAGTCTTCACAAATTGTATTGTTTACATCTTCCGCAGGGCATTGCACAGGATTGAGATCTCACCTGGGAATACAATATTGTGATTAATTAGTGATCTATCTGGATTAAAATAAAACGGGACAGTAAGATATTACATTTGAGTCCAGAAAATTCAAAAATTAAGATCTACAATAAAATTAACCAATGAAAGTAATTTCTTTGGCACCAATGAGTTAATCTTTGTTAATGTTATTTAATAAGTGTTAATGATGACGTATTGTTAACACAAAAATTGTAAAATCTTTTTATCCAATTAAAAAAAAGATTTGTGCTAAAAGCAAAGAGAACTTTCTCTTAACTGCAGGTTCACATTTATTAGAGTGTAAATTTGAATGAAAACGAAAATTTCTTCTGATAAGCTATGTGGAAAAAGACAAATATACATTCAAATAATGCTTAAACTGTTATATAGTGATATGACCCTTGAAATGACTTGTGGTTGTGAAATATTTCTGAATTCATCTTAATCAAAAATTTGACTTGCATACTAATAGGTAATTTATGTTCCCATTAAATCTGTTGTTGTTCCACTATACGTGTTAACCAATAATATATATTTTTTAAAATGTATTTTCCTTAATTTTTTATATATTCTTCATTCATCCCCATTTTCAGAATCTGCTCATTCCTGTTGTTCTCATTCTGCTCCTGATTTTTTAAAGAAAGTCCTAATTTTCCTTTCTTTATTTTGTAATTATGAGGATGGCCTAAACTAAATACCCACCATTGATGCTGTCAGCCAGGTTCTTCAGCTGTTGTGCATTGTCCAGCATCTCAATTCTCTGTGTGTATGCATTATAGCGTACAGAGAAAGGCCTGGGGATGGTAGTGGCAAATCTCCTATAATTTAAAGCAAAAATGCACATTATTAACTGCTGGAAATGCAGAGAAGTTTTGAGAGAGGGTTTCACTGTGGTCACTTTACCGGACTTTCTCTTTGGCGTCTTCAAAACTTTCTGCCACAAAGTAAACGGGCTGGAACTCCGTAATAGGATACTTCTGCTGGCAGGTCTTCTCTGGCTCAAAGGGCTGAAGTTTAGGCTCGTTCGTCAGACAGTACTGCAAAGCAAATTTGTAGGTTTCAGAAAAATACGTATTTTGCCTTCAGAAAACAACAGTACAAAGGCTGTCACTTAGGGTGTCACTACTTTTTAAAACGTATTATATTCCTAATTGTCTCAAACTCAGTAGGTGCATCCAGCTCCCTTGTAGTCGGGTCACTGACTAGAGTCAGCCATCTTAGGAACTGTCTCAATTGCAAAATTCTTCTTCCAGTGCATTGAAACTTTCAATAAACCCAAAATGCAATGTGAAAATCAGGATGCATCGAAGTTTAAAAGCATGACACGTAAATCATGTGTACCAAATCAACCATAATGACAAACAAAAGATGTTTTTCTAAAAAAAACCATATATATATATATATATATATATATACATATATATTTTACATTTAATATGAACAAGCAAAGCTAGACAGAACAATCTAGCAAACAATTAGAGCTGTTTATAGCTGGTTAGCTATAATATACTTTTAAAAATGTCATAAAATGAATAATCAATTCTTTTGTTGGATATAAATTCCAGTTTTGATGTTGTACAAAGTGGAAGTCTTCATGTCCTAATGTAGTTAACCAAGCTTAATGATATGAATATATTAGTGCTTACATGGTACATAATTTGGAAGTTTTTGTACTACTGTACTTTATCTCAGTGTTGTTAGTCCTGGCTTGTTGAGCATTCACACTGTTTATTTTTATTTATTTTTAATTTAATTTCTGTTCTGTTCTGGGAAGATTGTTAAAAACTTATTTCTAATAACTGATTTATTTTATCTTTTCCATGATGACAGTAAATAATATTTGACTAGATATTTTTCAAGATACTTCTATACAGCTTAAAGTGACATTAAAAGGCTTAACTAGGTTAATAAGGTGAACTAGACACGTTAGGGTAATTAGTCAAGTTATTGTATAACGATGGTTTGTTCTGTAGATTATCGGAAAAAAAATTAGCTTAAAGGGGCTAATAATTTTGTTAATTTAATAACTAATGAAAGAATAAAATAAAATAATAAAAATTAATAACTGCTTTTATTCTAGCCGAAATAAAACAAATAAGACTTCTCCAGAAGAAAAAATATTATCAGACATACTGTGAAAATTTCATTTCTCTGTTAAAATCATTTAGGAAATATTTAAAAAAGAAAAAAAATCAAAAGGGGGCTAATAATTCTGACTTCAACTGTATATACACATTTAGGTATGTTTGGTCTGTGTTGTGCACACATTTCAGTCGATTCACAATGGATTATTAACTGTCATTTTGGTTTGATGAAATTGATGTGCATTCATGAAGGACAGAGGATATGAGCAGTTCTTCTGTTCAATAAGTGACGCAGCAGAGTTGTGGATCAATTCCTTAGTGACACACGCTCATTTTGGCTAAGTTACTCATACACACCTGCAGTTCACCAAAGGATGACAGCAGACCTGCACCATAAGCCTTCACTTCATTTCCTTGCTTGCACAGACCAAATTCCACAGTGAACCAGTAGACCTACAGAAACAAATGAAATTTTGCAGTGCTTTTTATCCTTGATGTATAACATGAATGGCTTCAGTTAAAGATGGAGAAAGGTATTCTTATTGTAAACATAACTCACTGTAGCCAGCTTCTCTATGAACTCATCAGGGGCGCCCAGAGAAGCGAGCCCAATTTCCTGATCAGATAAAAAGCATTGTTATAATTGGATTTTACAAATGACAAATGACCTTATTTTTTTTTCTTTATTTTTTTACACTTCCTTTTTTTTTTTAGTTCAAATTATTTTTGAGTTCAAATTTCATAAGCAGTTGTTTTTTTTTCTCAGAATTGTACTCAGAATTCAGAATTTTAAAATGTTATACTATATTTTAATGAATATAGAAATCTAAACAAAAATTGGGAAATGGATTTCACCTTGATAATTGCCATTATATAGTATAGGCATAGTTCACTCAAATATGTTTATTTATTTGAAACTTTTATGAACTTCTTTCTTTATATCTGTTGAACACCTAACAAAATATCATGTAAATCAGGGACCATAGACATTTATAGTAGGAACAAAAATATAATGGTAGTCAATGGCTGTTTTTTTCCCAGCATTCTTCAGATTATCTTCCTTTGTGTTCAACTGAAGAAAGCAACTTAAACATGTTTGAAACGAGTGGATGATTAGAAAAGGATGACATAATTTTCATTTTAAGGTGAATTATCTCATGAACTAATATTTCTTAATATATATTATAATACAACAACATGAAAAGAAGTATAATGGTATCAAACCTGAGAGAACTGGGCAAAATTTGGGTCAGCAAACAACGGCACATGACCCAGCAGCTCATGACAGATATCCCTGAGGGAACAAGCACATTTTAACCAATGTAGCATTACCAAAATTAATATTTGTTTTTCTCTGATCACTTTTGTCCACCTTAATTTTAAACTGGTGCTTATTTATACTCACGGCTCAGGTGTGTACATGGGTTTGGAGCTGTGGCGAATGTACTGGGTCGAGTGAAACACTCGAAAGGCCAGACCAGCTAAGAAGTCCCTTGAGGAGAGGAGACCGGCCACAGGACGCAGACGGAAACCTGTGCATGCTGGGAAATCAAGAAAAGGTCAGACATGCAATGCAAAATAGAAACATTTAAAAGGAAAAACTGTAGATTAAAACAAAGGAGATGTCTGTCAAAATTGAGTCTTTTTTTCTGGCAAATGTTAAGAACTCATACAAAATACACTCAAAAAATGTTGTTGTTTTTTTGCTGCGGTTTGTTTAAACAATTTATTTAAAATAAACTGAATTAACACTATTTTTGTGTTTTTTGGGGGGGGGACAACCTAATTGTTTTATATTTAATCCACTTACAAATAGTTAAATTACAAATAATTTATATGGGCTAAATTTAAACTAACAATTTAACTTGAACAGTACTGAATTTAATTTGTTTACATTCAGCACATATAAATTGTTTGCAGCTCTATTACTTTTGACTCACTTTTATTTACAATATATCTATATTCTCTAGAAATGTGTTCAGATAATTCGATAATAATATACACCATTGTTTGCATCATTAAAAATAATCAAGTAATAAATAGAAATAAACTAAAATCTCATCTGTAAAATACTTTCACATGACAAGAATATTAAAACTGAGAAGAAATATGCAAATTAGCGCATATTTCATATGCCCACCTCATTTTCAAATTTATACCTAACAATTTAGAAAACTTATCAAATATAATGTAGAAATATAAATAAAAATAAAATATTATTATAAATATGTAAATATAAATTTAATATAAAAAAATGTTTGCAATTTCAAGGCTCAGGTTAGCACTGACACGTCATAGCAAGAAGGTCACTGTTTCAAGTGCCGACTGGGTCGGTCGGGATTTTTGTGTGAAGTTTGCATGTTCTCCACGTGTTCGCGTGGGTTTCTTCCGGGTGCTCCCGTTTACCCCACAGTCCAAAGACATACACTCTAGGTGAAATGGGTATACTAAATTGGCTGTAGTGTGTGTGTGTGTGTGTGTGTGTGTGTGTGTGTGTGTGTGTGTGTGTGTGAGAATGTATGGGTGTTTCCCAGTACTGGGTTATGGCTGGAAGGTCATCTGTTGCCTAAAACATATGGTGGAATAGTTGGCGGTTCATTCCGCTGTGGCAACCTCTGAAATAGAGACTAAGCTGAAGGAAAATTAATAAATGAATGTTTGCAATTCTTAATGCAATCAGTTAAACTGGGAAAGAATGGTGATGGCTATTAGTACATTCATTAAATGTACTGATAGTTCCAATGCAGTGTCTTTATATTTGCTTTTATTAAGAGAGCAGACGTAAAAGCTTTATTGCTATGTCTGAACAACAGTGGCTCTACTGGAAGCCGATCTTACATTGCAGGTAGTGTGAGATGTCCTCCAGCTGTGGGATGTTGTCCTCACGATACCCACAGTATTTCTCAAGCAGCGGAAAGACACGGTTGTGTTCACGGCAGGCATGTGTGGGGTACAGAGTCTTCAGCTCTCTGAAAACTGTCCCCCATGTGGCCTTCTCTTCAGCTGTGTATTCAACACGTGGAATAGGCTGTCCACTAACAGAAGAGAAACATGTGCTTAGCTTAGTTTTAGGACACAATGGGTTCAAAGGCTTTTGTCTAAGTGCTTTATATAATGTTGCATACTATTTGAAACCTGAGAAAGATTATTTTGAGAAATGTTTTGGACTATAATTATGTTTGTGCTTTAATCAGTTCATCCAGGATTTTGAAAAAACATTTTTTAATAGTTGCGGCCTAAATTACTGATTTTGTGACTGTTTTTCATGAAACATATTGTATTTTTGCTTCAAATCTTGTGTTTTTCTTTGAAAAAACACTAAAATTTGAAGAAAAAAAAGTGATCTTAAGTATCATCAGACTCGAAACATCCAGAAGGAATTGTTTCTTTATTTGAAATATAATCAACAAATACATTTTATTTTATCAGTTTAGTTATCATTAGTATTAAATGACTAAAATTGTTTAACCATAAAACTTATGTTACAAAACTTAAACTAATATGACTGTTGACAGAAAAAAACCTATAAAGCTTATTTTATTTTAGCTTGTTGCCAAGAAAATATTTCTAAAATTAAAACAAAAAGGTACTTCAAAAAGAGTGTTGCAAAATGGAAAAAAAATATATTCTGTTTTTTTTTAAAGCAAGCTCAAGATAAAGTAATTAGATAAAAATTCTAGTCTAAAAACTGAACAAAAGCATTTTAGTTTACCCAAAAATCAAGTTCCATCTTCATTTACTTAGCCACACATTAGTACAAAGAAGCCTACAGGTTTATATTATTTCATTGTCCTGTTGTTTTGCATAGCATTTTCTTTTAATCCATCAGCAAAAGCTGCTTTTACAAAATATATTTAAACTATATTCCAAAAAACGAAATCAGATTTTAAATGGAATGAATGTCAATAAATGATGACAGCGTTTTTGTTTTTGAAAGAAATAACCCTTTATCCTGGTTTTTGAATACTATTATAAACAGCATGATTCTAACCAGCTTCCCACACATAAATTAGACTTTTTTCAAACTTGTAGACGTATTATTGTAGTTTGGTGTACTGTATACTGTACCTGAATAATCATAATAATAGATATTAATATAAGCACAAATGTCATTCTCTAGATCCCATAGGCCACAGGTGTCAAATTTCAGTTCCTAGAGGGCCGCAGCTCTGCATACTTTAGTACCAACCCTGATTAAACACACCTGACCAAACTAATTCAGACCTTTAGGTTTGTTTGAAATCTACAAATAAGTGTGTTGGAAAAGGGTGCACTGTAAAAAAATGCTAGGTTTCAAACAATTCCATCATTTTGTCCCAACACAAATTGGTTAAGTTAACTCATTTGTTTTTACAAATAAATGGATTGAACATAAAACAATTAAGTTGTCTCCCCCAAAGAAAAACTCAAGAATTGTGTTGCTTCAACTCATTTTAAATAAGTAGTTTAAAAAAGCAGCAAAAGTAATTTTTTGAGGGTGGAACTAAACGGTGCGGAGCTGTAGACCTCCAGGAACTGGAACTGACACCTGTGCCATAGGCTAAAGGACAGTAAACCAACAAACAATCTTGCTAATCAAATTGGTATGGAGGAGTGATGTGTGCTAGTGTTATTAATGTAGCGTGTGTATATATGTGAGTTTGAATTTTTGGTTTTATAAATTCCCTTTTTTTAATCTAAATACATTTTGGGTCCTTTTGTATTTTTTTTTTCTACCAAAACTTGATTTTATATATATATATATATATATATATATATATATATATATATATATACTGTGGATGTATATAAAAATTTAAACCGTTAAAGGCTAGTTTAATAAAACAATTAATTCTGTCATCATTTACTCCCCCTCCACCTGTTCCAAACCTGTTCAATTTAGTTTTTTTTTTCTTCTGTCAAACTGAAGAATGCTAAACAGCCATTGACTTTGATAGAATTGTTGTTTCTTCTATGGGTGTCAATGGCTACTTTTTCCCTAATATTATAGGAAAAAAAATTTTTGTGCTTAACAGGTGGAAAAAAAAGGTAGAAACACTACCTATACCTTTTCCTGAACTATACCTTTCAGAAGCTACTAAAACAAGTACACTTTACAATAAAGTTTCAGTAGTTTATGTATGTACTAACATGAACTAATAATGAACAATACTTGTACATCATTTATTAATTGTAGTTCAACATTTACTTATGCATTATTAACATCCAAATTCATGCTTGTTAAAATTAGTTTACACACTGAGTTAAACTAACAATGTACAAATGTATTTTAATAAACTAACATTAACTAACATAAACAAATATTGTAATAAATGTTTTGTGTATTGTTTGTTCATTTTAATAAATCCTTTAACTAACATTATGTAATACAACCTTATTGTAAAGTGTTACCCTAAAATAAGCATAAATGACCCAAAAAACCCTAAAGGCCACTGAACAAACATGTCAAATCTCAGTGCAAGTACAGTGTAAGTTGAAGAGTAATGAGTGCTTGTATTATTGATGGAGCGTGCATGTAAATGTGAGCCTTCTCAGGGGGCGTCACATTCAGCGCTCCTGCCCTTTGTAGAGGCTGTGTGAATAATGCATCTCAATTATGATGACAAAGCTTGCGGCGCTCTGCACTGCACGGGGACCCTGTAATTTAGCCCCTTTGTTTGGCAGTTGGAGTAATTTTCCATAGAAAGCACAACACAACAACAGGGAAAGTGCTAGCTGTAGACAAGAAGACAATAGTTACTGTCTGTAGTTGTAAGCAATGTCAGCAAATTCCTTCCTCCTGGCCCGGTAGACGGTGTCAGTGAAACCCTGCAAACGAAAGCGATGTTAACACAGAGTCTGATCTCTCATTCAAATGAAGCCTTTGTAGAGTGTTTGCTGCTTATGATGAATGCATTTCGGTTTAATGACGGCTGGGAAGGGGGCAATTATTTATAATTACAGGGACTCAATTAAAGCGATGACATCAATTTGAGGGCCTCCGCCCGTTTCCATCACAATAGAGAGTGATGCAGATCCTAACTGGGGGCTTTTAGAGTCGCGCGGAGCACATACAAAAAATACACCCACACACACACTCTTGTGTTTGATAGAAGTTCCCTCTTACGTTTACTTTCGCTCTTTTCTGTGATCGTGAGGGCGGTCACTTCAAAGTACACACACACACACACACACACACTGTTGCATATATGGTGTCTTACTGGATGGTCTGCGTCCAGCTCGGATCCATAACTCAGGATTTGGTTGGCAAATCGGTCCAAGTCCTGGATGTCATTGGGGAACCATGGGACTTTCCATGAGATGGAAAGAAAGAAAACATTTTAGATTTAATGGCCGATTATTCTGTTGAAATAGTATTCAATGCAAGTGAACTTTTGTTGGTGTTTTTTTATGTATACATTTAAGGACAAATGATATTTGAAAGAAGGCTTTATTGTAAAGTTTGTTTAAAAAGATTTATGTTTAATAAAAAATGTTTGCTAGAATAAATAATACAAATATAATAGCATTCAAATATAACAAACTATTTAAAAAAATTTAATTAAAACTAAAGAAATAAACACACATTTGACTAAAATAAATAAAAATATGATTAATTACAGGAAGATAGATAAATAAATAAATAAATAAATAAATAAATAAATGAATGAATGAATGAATGAATGAATGAATGAATGAATGAATGAATGAATGAATGAATGAATGAATGAATGAATGAATGAATAAATAAATAAATAAATGTTAAAATCCCAGCAGACATACAACATCATAAGTTAATATGTTAATATAAGGACAGTGTTATTTTGATGTCAAAGAATTATGTGAAATGACGTTGATATTTGGTTGATTTTAGGTTCTATTGGAAAGTGACCAAAATCCAACTTCAAGTCAACATCATAGTGGTAATGTCTACACAAGCTGCAATAACATTAGACGTTGATATTTGGTTGTTTTTAGGTTACATTGGAAAGTAACCAAAATGCAACATCTGTCCGATGTTGGACATTGATGTTAGCCTTGATGTTGGGTTCTGAAGTCAACCTGATTTTCATTTCCAAACAAAATGCAACGTCCCACGACGTTGGGGTACGACATTAATCTGATGTCATGTTGACATCCTGTGTCTGCTGAGATACATATTTACATATTTAAATATTTAAGTATTTCAAATATTTCGCAAACTGGATCGAATAATACTAATATTTTTTTATATTTCAAGACTAATTTCAACATTTGTACCTGGTTAAAGTAAATGTGTGTACAGTATTGTTGAAGTCAGAATTATTTGCCCCTCCTTTGTTTTTTTTTCTTTTTTTTTTTAAATATCTCCCAATTGATGTTTAACAGAGCAAGGAAATTTTCACAGTATGTCTGATAATATTTTTTCTTCTGGAGAAAATCTTGTTTGTTTTATTTTGGCTAGAATAAAAGCAGTTTTTAATCTTTTAAATGCCATTTTAAGCTCAAAATTGTTAGTCCCTTTAAGTTATATTTTTTCGATAGTCTACAGAACAAACCATCGTTATATGATAACTTGCCTAATTACCCTAACCTGCCTAGTTAACCTAATTGACCTAGTTAAGCCTTTAAATGACACTAAAAGCTGAATAGAAGTGTCTTAAAAAATATTCAGTAAAATATTATTTACTGTCATCATGGCAAAGATAAAATAAATCAGTTATGAGTTATTAAATCTATAATGTTTAGAAATGTGTAAAAAAAATCTTCGCTCCATTAGACAGAATTAAAATGTCAGTTTATAAACTTTTTTTCACTTTAAATGAATTAATTCTTTAAAATGTGTCTGAACTTTTAACGTTGCGTTTTTCAGGTCTATGCTGAATACTACTGAATAATGACACGAAAATAGTATTTAATACCATAAATACCCTAAAGAGACAAAATATAAAATACAAATAGTATTGAAATAAAATGTAGTAAACTCTTAGCATACACGTACATTTTATCATGTATTTCAACAATGGACTTACAAGGTAGCTCTATAGTGCACTGCACAAGAATAAACTCTAAAATTAAATCTATAATAAAATCCCTAACTGTCCCCTTTTACCCCTAATATCACCTAGCGCACAATTTATAACTGAACATATTTTTTTAGTTTTCTGCTTTAGATTTCAATGAGATCCTCCATATAGTCTTTTCATTCTTTCCATTTAAAAAAAATTGACTAATGATCGAATCAAGTTCCTGATATGTGTCAGTATATCAGTGCTCTCTAACATTGGCATGCTAACAGAGATAGATGACACAACAGTAAAAGGAAAACATTGTATGGAGAATAGTCCAGTCCAGCCTTTCAGACGAAAACCCTGCTCTGCGGCATCCAGAACTGCGTAAAGTCTAGATTTATGACAGCTAAACTCGTTGGGGGTCCGGCCATCAGCACATAACTGAAGAATAAGCCTGAGGCGCTCTGAACAAAAGGCCAAGAACTGACTGCTTTTCCTCATCAGCCATAAATATCCATGAGCGTCCCCCAGTGCTGTGTTTTCTTATTGTATTGATAATAGGGTCTGTTGGTCTGTCAGTCTTTGTGATGACCTTTGACCCCCACCCTGCTGAACTGACTCTTGGAGAGACACAGGACATTTCAGTTCATCGGAGTCTGTTAGTCCTCAAAATCTAAACTAATGTAATTCTGGAAACAATCACGAGAGAGAAGGAGTGCAGGGGTCTTTGTCATCCATCTGCAGGATGACATTTATTAGTGATTACAACTATTTCTGGTGTAAATGCCCTCGATTGCTCTCACTCAGTTTTTTCGGCCAATTATTGTTCAGACTGGTGGTCTCACCTGTGTCTTTCTGTTTGTTGCGGGATAGCTCGTGAACTTGGCCCCTGATCTGGGTGCGAAGACCATCAACGATTTCATCCAGAACTTTAGAGGAGGCTTGATCCACGCTGATGAAGAACTCGTACTCTTCATTGTTCTTGCGTGATGGACGGGACTCAATGTGCGTCAGGTTAATGCCTTTCTCCTGCAAAATACACATTTATGACAATTATATCTAATGATTTCAAGCATCAAAACAAAAAAGAAAAAAAGACAATGTGCGTTATTTATTAGTTCATTTGTAGATCAGAAGAAGTATGGTTAAATTATTTAATTGCTTTTGTAATAATCTAAGCAGTATATAAATAATACATTTCATACATTTTATTTTCTATGGCATACACTCAAAAAATGCTGGGTTGTTATTTACACGGAGCGCCAGATTAATTTAATTGATAAAAAAAACTCAATGTTGTGGTAACATTTTTACTTAAATATATGTATAAGTTAATGATGAAGGACTGTTATTTCACCCATTTTATGACATTTTATTTTCAAAAACATTTCAAACAATTAATGAATTCTTAAATTGCATTTAAATTGTTTTGTTCATATATAAAATGTGCATATACAGTTAAAGGCAAAATAATTTTGCCTTTCTGTGAATTTATTGATTAATGGAGAGAAGATTTATTTAATACCTTGTTAAAAATAATAGTTTAATTAATAATATCTAATAACTTAATATATATTGTGTTTGCCTTTATGAAAGTACATAATATTTTAGTAGTTGTTTTGCAAGACATGCAGTACTAATATTCAGTTTAAAAAGAAATTTAAAGGCTTAACTAGATTAATTAGTTACACTGTAAACCCCCCCAAAAAACAAAACCGACTGCAACTCAAACCATTTAATATATATATATATATTAAGTATATATATAAAACTTGCTCCAGAAGAAATAAATATAATAGCAAATGCTGTTAACATTTCATTTGGATAGTATTGGAAAAAGAGTGTAAATGTACAAATGTGTAAATTTACTAGAACTTTTCATTTATTATTAATAGTAATAATAAATTTATTTGTGTGGTTTGCATTAAACATTATCATTAACATAAACATTAAATTGATTTGACCTCATTTTGCACAGATGAAACACTAGGTGGCAGTCCAGCCTTGCCCTTTAAATGATGAAGCAGTTACAAAATGCTGAGAACAAACCTTAAATCATTGTAGCTGGTTTTACATTGATTTATTGAAGGATTGATTTATTAATAGGTTTTCTGCACCAGAACCTGTTATAAAAGCATCAATTACCATCAGTTAAGGAATGTGTAAAATATACCACAAACAATCGATGATTAAGAATATACGTTGTGTGTGTGTGTGTGTGTGTGTGTGTGTGTGTGTGTGTGTGTGTGTGTGTGTGTGTGTGTGTGTACTTATCTTTCCTTAATAACTAATTGAGTAAATTACTGTAGTTTATCAGAAAATCCATTTAAACTAAACTTGTGCACGCACACATTTTGGCAGCGCACAAGCTTCAAGTGTACAGCGTTATTTCAGCCAATCAGAAAGAGGGTGTTCAAGCATCTGACTGCAATTTTTAAGCAAAACCATGTTTGTATTTATGCGTTTTCACACAAACAGAGGGAGGACGCCCATTGCTGTTTGCCATAGGCCCAGAGAGGAGGCGGATAGGTTTTACAATGTCTTTTTCATCTCTAATAATCTCCTTCCTTTCCCTTGTGGTACTGATTGAGTCCATATGAACTGCATCCTTTAGCACCCGAGAACAAAACTGCAGATTTGCTGCATTATTTTTCTGCATGTTTGGCATTTTTTATGAAACGGTTGGTTATTACAACCGCATTCACAGAGTCACAGGGTTCAGTCAGCACATTCATTGTATGCTTGAACATCACTTTTGAGGTTTGCATCAAAATTTTATGTTTACTTAATTTACTGTATGTGCACCCTCAGAAATACAGGTACAAAAGCTGTCACTGATGTGGTCACTTTTCAAAAGGCGCACTTTTGTACATAAAAGGTACACTTTTATACCTAAAAAAGTCTATACTGATACTTTTACCACTTGTTACACTTTTGTACTTTTAGGTACTAATATGTACATTGAAGGTACAAATGTGGACCTTTAAGGTACCAGAGTTTGAAATGATCCCACCCCAGTGACAGCTTTTGTACATTTTTATTTCTGAGAGTGTGCTGCAAAGCCCCTGTTTATCTTTGGTTCACATTCTGACATTTTTCATGATGATAATCTAAATTGGGCTGTGCAATATGATGATATATACTGAATGAAAAATATTAAACTTCTAGAATTTTATATTATGCTTTAAAAAGTTTGTTTTGTGGTGCAGGAAAGTGCAAAGCATGAAATGAAAGCTTGAAAGTATGATTTGACATTTTATTTCTAGTATTTTGAAAACATGTTTATATTTCGTTCAAACTTGTTTTTTTTTTGCATTCTTAATCAAACATTTGCCTAGAAGTTTTACATAAAGTAACAATATTATCGCATAAAATTACTTATAATAAGTAACTTATAAATAAATGCATTGATCATAATAATAAATGGCATTATTGACAATTACATTGTTTTAATTATGAGCAAATAATAAGATATGTTGTTCAAGCTGAATAGTAAATTATTAATTATAAACATTATCTACTGTAATTCATTTCAAGTTGATTTGTGTAGCTCTTTTCACAATAAGTATTGTTATAAGCAGCTTTACAAAAGGTGTGCATTATTACAATTTAAACTAGAAAGTATAGTAGACAGTGTAGCTGTCAAGCGCATAGAATAATCTTCATAAACTATAATGTACTTTTTTAAAAAATGTGATATATATTGCTTTGTTGTTGTTGTTGATGTTATGTTAATATAATATTTAATAAGTAATACTGTACCTTTAATCAACTCTTACTTTCTTTCATAAAGCACCTTTTCTCCACACAGCAAACATTCAATGCAGGAAATTAGTGTTTTAAATTAGTGCAAATGATGCTGGAAAATGTCCATGGGGTGTCCGGGCAGAGGGGTGGAGAAGGGGGTGTTTTAAGGGGGTGGAGTAGGATGGCACAAATGAACCAATCAGAATCTACAAGCCAAGCTTTTATGTTTATAGTGGCATTAGGGGGTGCACATTTGGCATGTATCCATTATTGACTTGCACAAACAGATTTTTTAGCTCATTAGTTTTAGTTTCAAAAAAGCCTATATGCTTGAGTGGAATGCAATTTGTTGTAATCTTATGGGGCAAACATTTTTAATAAATTTGTAATAAGTCTGTGAAATCTGTCATCTATTTGGTCAAATGTTTCATAGCACGTAGGCAGCAGAAAAGTCAACATCCTAAAAACAAAATATACTGAACTTTGGTACAAACAAAGAAGAGCTTTGGAAATGATTCAAGAAATCTTGGCATTATTACAGGACACTCCGTGCATGTCCATTTCGATACTGTTTGTATGCTTCCTACACATGCACATAACACATTACTACACATTATTACATCATGGGGATATATTGCTTCTGTATAGCCAATTGCATTTTAAGGTACTTGCTTTAAATGCAGTTTACGAAAGTGACTTTATATATTTTAAAACCTTTTGCTCACTTGCATGAAGAAAAACTTTTGGTTACTTTGGTTTTTGAGTCATACTATAGTAAAGTTTATTATGTTTTATAAATTATTTAAAACACTTTGTTAGTGAATGCTATACAGCATGTATACTGTATTATTAACTACATAAACTGTAATAAACTGTAATAAATACTACAGTAAACTGTGGCAATATAATATAATAAGTATAAAATATGTAGTATAATAGCCTATTGTTGTAGAAAACTACAGAATTAGGTCATTTCTTTACTTTACTATAGTTGTTGTATTACCAAAGCAATTTTATAATAACCACAACAGATGAACTGAAGTATTTTACTATAGTAAGATTCAAAACCTGACTACTTATTTACTTTCAATCACTAAAGCATGTTTTCCATGTGGAAACAAATAGGTAAAACCCAGTGGTTTGAAGAGCATGGTAACATAGAGAAATTTAGAAGTCATTTTAATTTATATATCTAAAAACATCATATAATTATCATTATGTTAAGCTGAATTTCATTTTAGTGGGTGTCTTTTTTTAAATCAGCTTAAAATATATGATAGTTGTGATTTTGTATTTTGTCTAATGAATTTAAAAAGTACTTTTAATGTACAAAAATTAAATTAGTTTCCATGTTGTTTTAAAGTGAGGGCAGATCTCAAACTTCATTAACCTCGCTTAAGTTGCATCACATGGACAGCATTGCCTAACAAATGCGTCCTGACCAGTGTTTTGAATTTTGAGAAATGTCCACTATCATTCGCTGTCCTTGAGCCTCATGTTTTACCTTTTGATAAATGCTTCTAGTTGTACATTATAGAAAGAGTCAGAAAGAAAGGTGAATAATTAATACAATATAAATGCACTGTCGATACACTAACCTCAAATAGTTTCAGAGCTTTCACGAGAGCTCCAACTTCTTCCTTCAGAGAGAAAATGCAGGACACCACTCCTGATTTGTTTTTTGGTTCTTCCAGGTAGGATGAGGTCAGAGAGCCCTGTTAAACAAGCATGTCGAGGCACTCACCATCATTAATACACATGCAGAACCATCATGTCAAATTATCTTTATTATTATTATTATTTTTATTTTAAAAAGGTCTTTGAAATGAAAAGTAGGTTATTTTTCTGCAATAAAGATTAGTCAATAGATTGCTAGACAATAGATTGACAATAGATTGCCTGTCTCTGCTTGTTAAAGGATAGTTCAGTCAAAAAAAATAATATACTGACTGTTTACTTCCAAAGCTTTATGAGTTTATTTTGTTCTGTTCAGCAAAGTTGGAAATCATCCATAGTATGATAAATAAATACTATAGAAGTCAATTGCTTCCAATATTTTCCACAATATTTTCTTTTGTGTTCAACAGAAAAAAATCAAACGGATTTGGAAAAATTAAAGGGAGAGTAAATCACTATAGGATGTTCTTTTATAGGTGAACTATCCTTTTAATTCAGCCACCTTATGTGCTTAAAATGCAAAACTGTCTGTTACATATTAGCAAAACTACACAAATAAGTAACTTTAAAGGAGAATTTCTTCTTTGCAAAAATCAGAGGTTTATATAATTTTAACTTTTTTTTTTCGTTCTTCGCCAGTCGGATAATGTTGCAAGTTTGTTGTGGCCCTAATAGATCTCATTAATCTGATAAGAAGACCACCAAAGTAGGATCATAATGTAGCTTCAGAAGACTGTGCATGTGTGTAACTCATGACCAAAGTCACACTCGCATTCCTTTGAACCCACATTCCTAAATCAGCTGTCATTGTCATAACTTTCATCCCTATTTTACCATAATATGCTTTAAATAAAAAAAAATATATATATATAATAAAATCATTATATAATAATAAAAAATAAATGGAAAAATATACCTTTGGCGATCCACAATGTATATTAAAATAAAAATAAAATAAAACAATTAGTTGCACTGACCTCTGACTGCTTACATTTGTTTTTTTATTGTTAAAAATAATTATCATCTCTTTCACACTCTTTCACTCTTTTCAAACTTAATTATTAAAAAAGCTTAATTCCATAGAATTAAATTTATTGTCAGGTCTTACAAAACTTAAAAATGAGTTGGACTATCACTGAATAAATTTAAGCAAAATGTAGGCTATAGATTGAGTTTATTAGATCATTCTAATTTACAAGTTTTAATTTCATCAATTTATTTATATTTTGATTTTGGGGAAGTGCTAATATATATAGCCTATATATATATATGCTACATAAGTGTAAAATGATAAGCTAAAATTAAGTAGGATTAAAAGAATTGTTCACCTTTCTCTCCAGTCCCCCGTTTATCTGAGTGAGTCCTGCGTCCATTCTTGCTTCAGTCCTCAGGTGATGTGGCTTTGTCGGATGCTTCTGTGAACTTAGTGCAACTCATCCAAAAATCCAGCAATTTAAAAGTACCACGTGACACCACACCCCCTGAACCGGCCCGTGTGCCTGTCACGCGACCAGTTGTGCACATAAAGCCCTGCTGGGGATGTTTGGAAGCTGCTACCAAAAGCGCATCTGGTTTGTGTTGTTCAGTCCAGTGGAAAAGGGGGAGTTTTGGGTGAGGATGGAGTTCAAAGTCATCATTTCGCAACGATTAGTTTGCTAGTTTGTTTCCCCCCTTTACCTGATGTAATAATGATGTAATGTGTATTTTAGTTTAATAAAATAAAATAAAATAAAAGAACGAATAGAAACAGAATCGAGTTATGTTATAATTTCATCATCTATAGGCCTATATGTTGATGTTCTGTTATGACCACTCGATGGCGCCAATTATCTAACTTTAGATAAAGACTTCATAAATTGGGAATTAGTTTAGGTGAGCGAATGTCAACCAATATGAGAAAAAACACCTACTCTTAGGGAGGTTTAATCCATATTAGTGTTATTTTGTTTGATTGTTTTAATCTGTTGTCGTTCGACTCGCCCTACACCGAGATTGATTTGGTGTTATTAGCATAAGTAGCTAAACGACTACTTAAACAAACAATAATGTTTTTGTTTTACTCGAATGTTCTGTATTGATCGATTGCCACGCAAATATGGCGCTGCTCTCTCATCGGGTGATTGCAAACAAAAATGCTTTTAAGAGAAATGTGTTTACATATGTACTAGGATTTAGGCCATAGCTGTATAATCAGATTCCCAAAAAATTGCAATTAAGTTAATTGTAGATTAAAGTACAATAGATTGGATTACTATGTTAAAAATGCTCTTAATCAGATTAGTTATTCACTAGATGATTGCATATTGTGATTTGCAGGTTATTTGTTTGCGAACCGTTTTGACCTAAAATGAACTTACCACCAAGTTACTATGTAATTTTTTTTAGCTAATTTTTGCATGTTCACAGTTCATTGCCACATGAGGTTCAGGTAAATACATATTTCATCTGTATCTTTTAAGTTCAAGTGTTTTATTAATAATTCATAGTTCTATTTATTATCAATTTACATACCCACAGTTTGCTTACATGAACAATATGATAGTTAGTTAAATAAAAGAAATACACACTGTAAAAAAATCCAGGTTGCCTTAATTTTTTTAAGCTGAATCTAATTAAACTGAGTCTGTTGAACTCATATTTAGGTAAGTTAAAGTATCTTAAAACAGCTTGTGTAACTTATAAAATTAAGTTAGAGCATGATTAACTTAGTTTAATAAGTTACAATGAACTAAAAAACGTGCTGTCAAGACAAATTGATCATAGATTTTTTTTACAGTGCAGTTAGTGTTTTTTAACCACAATGAAGTACTTTAGTTACCTTATACTCAACTGTAGTAAATAAACAAATGACCCAATGCTGCAAGTTTCTACAACTTATAGTTGTTACAATGCTGTTATAATACAGTACATCACAGTTTACTGTAATAAAAAGTATTTCAGTATTTTCAGTTTGTTTTCCATGTGAAGCTCTAAAACTTTTTTATGTTAAATAAATCTAATAGTAAGTTATTTATGAACAAGCAATACAGCATATTTTATTTGTATTTCTAGACCAATTTGGTACAAAACAATGAAGTCTGTATGTTATAAACAGGTTAAAAGTGATCTAAAAGTAATCAAAAATGTTTTTCCGATTATGTTATGTAAATCAAGATTATATTCCTAGTAACAGTTTTCATTATGTACACTCTCAGATATAAAGATACACAAGCTGTCATTGGGGTGGTACCTTTTTAAAAGGTACAAATTTGAACCTGCAAGGTCCATATTAATACCTCAAGGGTACACATTAGAACCTCAAAAGTACAAAAAATTTCATTTTAAAGTTTATAGGTACTAATAAATATTTTTAAGGTCCCAATATGGACCCTTAGTACAAATGCATACCTTTTTGAAAAGGTACGGTGACAGCTCATGTACCTTTATTTCTTAGAGTGTATATTTCAATCTGTTATGAACTTAATGAAAAAATTGTGTTTTTTGTTTCAATAATTAGTATATTAAAAAATCCTTAAAATGATTCATGAAAATAGGCAATGTATGGTCTGTATTCAGTCCCTATATTAAAAGCTAATTTTGCCACACTTTTAATTTGTCTTAAGTGAAATTGGCATACTTATCTGGCACACACACATACGCACACAAACACACACAGACACTTTGCTTATGCTACCGCAAACCATCCATTTATTCACCTTTAGATGGCAGTAGGTGTCTATACAATTTGTAAATCATCATTTCTGTTAACTCCACTGTCCTAATAATTCCTATTAATGTTTTTCACAGCCTCACCATTTTAACATCTTCCACAAATTATGCCATAAACAAATGTCAAGATAAAAAATCTATCTTCATTATCAAAGAAATGCCTTTACCTTGACATTAATTTGAGATCACCGAATAGAAAGTAAAGCCTTTAGAAACACTGTAGCTGCGTCCCAAATGGCACACTATACACTATGCACTCATGCACTATGTACTTATGCACTTACACACTCAACAGGATAGTATATGTATGTAGTGCTGTCCCAAATGGCACACTAATGTTTTTTTACTAAGCGGAAATTCAAACCGTTTCCCTGATGACGTTTGACGGTTGCCAAATCAGTGAAATAAACGACTGAATTATCAAGTAATACCTGCCGTGAGTATTGCCGCATTTACCATCCGGAGGCGCTATAATCACTCTCGTAGGAGAATTTTGCTTTCACTATCCAAAATAAATAAAGTTATTCAACATGTGCGTCCGATCGCTCCGCCCCTTCCGCTACGTAAGCAAACCTGCGGTCGTTGAGTGCGTGAAGTGTCCATCATTACACACTTCATTTTAGCGGCTGAATGAGTGCATCATCCGGGTAATTAAAGTGCACTTATTATTTTGAGAGTTTTCAATGTGAACACACTACTTACACTATTTATACTACAAAATGGCGTAAAATAGTGCATAAGTATGCGATTTGGGACGCAGCTTGTATATGAATGTCTGTTTATTTACACAGGAAATATTGGCCCATGACCAAACCTCTACGTGATCTAAACAGCTGAAGTTCTCTTGAACATCTGGACACCGTTCCCCGTTTAACACCTGCAGATGTTTTCAGGTAGGATACGTTTAGGATACAGTAGACTCCCTGTGTATAGAAATGTTATCACAAGAACACATCAAGGCATGGTGGCAGTTAGCACACATATGCACGCTAAATGAAATGAATGAAGGGCTGTTACAACCAACACATTTGGCCTTTGCCTTATATTGTTAAGTGGAGTTACTCACTTGTATAAGCCAAAGTTTGTTTACTATTTAAATTTACAACACAATAACAGAAATTAATACTTTTAAAAAGAAATAAGTCACATTATGAACTAATTGATTATTTTAACATAGAAATGTTGATAAGATGAATACATGTAGGCCTAATGTGGGGCAGTTCTGTTTAGGCATGAGCTGGTATATGATTCTGACGGTATGATAACCTTGGATGGTATATGATTCTGACGGTATGATAACCTTGGAGAAAAATATTACAGTTTCACGGTATTGTGATTACTGCTCTAAAATATGTCTTGGTAAAAAAATAAAAGTGAAAATAAAAATTGCCCTTTGAACACAATGTCTTCACAATATATATTTTATTTTGGGAAACATTTAAAATATTTTGGAACAGTAAACAGTCTGGCTAAATAATTCAAATCAATCATTGACATCTGCTGTCTTCATTAGATTCAATAACACAGCTTTCTTTACGATTTAAAACAGCATCTTTAAATATCTTTTCTGGTGGAGATACTGTTGTCCTAAAGTACCAAAAACAAAATTAAACAAAAAATCTTACATATACCATAGGAGCGGTATAACAGAAAATTTTGGCAGTTTTAAACCTTGACTTTCCAAACTGCGGTATACCTTGTAAACGCTTATCATAACATGCCTAGTTCTGATTAGCTGATCATGAAAAGTTTCTTCGGGGAACCAAAACATGTCTGAATATGCTGGTGAAAACTCCCCCTTAGTTGGAACACACTCTTTAAAAAAACACTGGTCCCACTTTATATTAAGTGTCCTTAACTAATTTGTACTTACACAGAAACTAATAATGAGTTACAATGTATTAATTGTGTAAATACATGTATTTACTGTGTACTTATGCTTGATTAAATACCTGTATGTAATTACATCTGTAATTAACTTCTTTAATTACATTTGTTAATACACTATTGACCTACCCTTACACCTTAACACACCCTTAAACCTACCCATACCAACAAGCCTGTCCATAACCCTACTCCTATCCCAACTCACGAGCACCACAAGTGTTTTCAAATACATTATGAACACAGTAAGTACGATGTGTTTATTTTTTGATGCAAGTACATAGTAGTTAAGGACACTTAATATAAAGTGGGACCAAAACACTTAATAATAAAGTTTCCAAAATATAGTGTTCACAGCAATGCCATATTAGATTTTTTTTTTTTTTTTGGTTCTTAAGCAATCTTTAAGTAAATAGTTCCTAAAAGCAACATTATTTTGTGTGTGTAAAATACATTTTAATAACAAAAAGAATGTATTTTTGAACCCTCTATGGAACGAAAAGTTTATTTGAATTTTAATAGATCATGTAGGGTGAATACAGTAGTCCTTCACAGAACCGTTGATGTCAAAGAAGAATCCTTATTTTTTAAGAGAAAACATTTTTTTTTTACTGTTTTATTTTGATCGCATAGTTGAGGACAGACAGGAAAGCATTGGGAGCAGAGAGAGGGGAAGGATCTGTGTAGAACCTTGAGCCAGGAATCGAACTCTGGTCACCGTTATCACCATGGTGCTATATGTCAGCGCACTTAACCACTAGGCTATTGGCGCAGACAGTGAAAACATATTTAATGGCATCTGTGGTTCCATTAGGA